CGCGTTTATTTTTCGAAAATTTGAATTTTGTTTTTATTTTTTCCGACCCACAAATGTCATCCTATGAAGTAACACTTTCGCAACAAAATAAGAAAAATACAAAGTAGCACTGCACGTTGACACTTTTTTGCTGACTTGTGTGTCAACTGAATTTACGATACTGGTATTTTTTGGGCTGAGGGCACCCTTGATTGCATAATTCTACCCTTCACACATTCAAGCAGCAGTATTAAGCAGTTGGGTAAGATTAGTCAGCAAAGTATTTTGAATTGCTTGAACTTCACATGAAATGTCTTATGAAATAGTTCATATTGAATACAATGAAATACTTTAAGGTGTCAGAGGAGCACTAAATGGGGCAAGGTTGAGGGTTAAGCACTGTTACTAGATGTTTAAAATTAACTAATATTTTCAAATTAAATTGCAGTAAAATTTTTAAATAAGAGGGTAAATCATAATGATGCGTTCGCAGTTTATGTTTAAAAAAAAAATGTCTTATATTATTTTCCATATTTTTATATCAATTTGTTCACCCATCAACTGCCATTGAAATTCACATTCCCGTGAATACTCACAACTATTAGCACACAACCTACAGCCTAGAGACGCGAAACATTCCAGCACATTTGCGGACCACACCCCAGCAAGCGCTGCTCTCCATTACTCTCTATAGTCTATATGTAACTCTTGAAACGCTCTATATACATATGTACTCGCCTATAAATAGTCAACGCATAAATTTTATTTATTTAAACAAAACATTAAATTTACTTACACTTTGTTTGTTGATTTTACATAAGAGATGCACCACATTGTCGATAAACATCTTCATTACCCGTGCTAAAGTATGATGAGCTAAATGAGCGAACGGATGACCATCCAACCCATGCCTGCGTGTGCTTATTAAACGCCCAGCATGGACGCATGGTTGGCGTATTAAGTGAAGTGAGCATTTTTCGGCTTGAAAAGAAACTGAACAGGGAGGTTGTGACAATGGTCGTTTGGTGTAAAAATTTTACATAATTTTTAAAAAAAAATCTGAAGCAGAAAAGCAGTATTTTTGCAAAATCGATTTAAATTTTTTCGACAAATGGAATTTATAAAAATCTTTCAAAAATAAATCACAAATTTTTTAGATTTTTTTTATCAAGGAAATTGAAATTAATATTCCAAACGCAGTAATTCTCTATGCAAATGAGTCAAAAATATTTTGAAAATTTTCACAGTGAAATAAAAAGTCGTATGTGACCACAACACTTGTTTACAAATCTAATTTAAGATAAAAGAAATTAAAAGGAAATTTTTTTTCATTGTGACATCGCATTTTTATTAACAAACTAATTTAAAAAAAAGTAAACTAACAGAAAATTATTTTTTTTTCAGAACTCAATTTGCATTAATTTTATTTTCATCAAAAATTCGGCACTGAATTTCATATACGATTCTTAGATTGTATAGCTTAAAAATAAATGTGGATTGCTTTTAAATTTGATTTTTGCAAAAGTTTAAAAAAAAATTAATTTGTCTAAAAACCACTCAATTTGTTCCATTGTGCGCTGATAAGCATGTGTGGCATGTAGTGTTTGCTTATCTTTTTAAATATATATGTGAGTATGTTTGTGCACTGTCCTCTGCCTTATTTTATGTAGAGAAAACTTAATCAATATTTTCCTACTTTTTGAACTCACATTTTTACATACCAATATTATTTCAAAAATTTGTTTTTTTCTCACTCTTCCTTATTGTCATGCATGCGTTGCACATTTTTAATTACGCCTTGTTAATTTTCACCAAATACCAATTACAACATAAAAGACTTTACCACAATGCCTCAGTGCTCAGCTGACACGCTTTGTACTATCCACTTTGAGGCATGCCACAGGCTGATACGTTAATATATGCACACATATACATTAGTTTTAAAAATATGTTTCCTACCATTCTCTGCCTGCTTAATTTTGTGTGGGTTGGAACGCGCAATTTGTTGCTTCATTTAAATTGTTTACAAAATTCATTATACTGAACATACATAAATTTATATGCGTATAGATTGACTGCAAATTTTACTCTTTCAATCGTCTCAATCACGAACGGGGGGTGGACAGTTTTGTTGTTGTAAGTGACAATATATATTTATATGTATGTCACGTACACCGGCAACCTGCCACACATACGAAATTTATGGTCACTGGCGCAAGTTTGACTTGACGGTGAGTTTGGTTGGCATTTGATGCGTGTAAAGGAAGTGCATATCCTCTGCAGAAAAAGCGCTTGACTCAAGTCTGTAGTAGAATGAATTTACTGAAAAAACAGACATTCAAAAAACTTCATGATTTTTCGCATTGATGAGCAATAATATTGATATTGAATGCAGTTGGGCGTTTGAATGACTTCATTATGGTGAAATTAATTGTTTACGTGAAGGAAAGTTGCTTCGGTTAACCTTTTTGTGTAAAGTACAAAAATAAAAAATTTAAACATGTAAGAAAGTTGAAAATATTGAGAAACGTTTAAAATTAATAAATAATAATTTTTTTTTTTTTGGTATGAAAAATTCTCCATTCATTTGCAAGACTAAAAAAATTGAAATACATCAAACTTGAGGCCAACTTGAAAATTAACTCTGCTTTATAATTGCAGTTATTCCTTTGTTCCTCTCTTTATTAAACTTTGCTAACTTTTTTCTTAGGAAACTTTATGCGTTAAATAGTTAAATGGATAAATGCATTTTTTGTCAGCCACAAAATCAGATACTTGTCAGTTCTTTAAAAATTTGTTAAATAAATTTAACACAATAAGCTAAAGCGTTGCTTCTTCTCTACAATTAAAGTTCACTATAAACGTTGCTAAGATTCATGTTCATCGCGCACAAAGAAAACTTATAAATCCTCTCCACAAGCTTTTAGTGTCTTGTACTAAAATTTTCAATCCTCTTTTAACATATTTAATCAGAAGCACAATTCAAAGGAGCACTAATTTTAAAACTTCTTAGTTAATAAGTTTCACATTAACACACATTTCGCCTGATTTCACAATATGCCAAATCTAAAATGCAATAAATTAGCACTTCCAGTTGAACAGGTTTGTTGCTTAAGTCTAATGTTTGTCCGTACAAAGCATGGACAAGTCTGTATACACTTAGAGATATCTACATATAGCAAACCAGCAAGTATGACACATGAGCCAACACGGCAGTAGTTGACGTAAATAGCGGTTCTTCTTTATATAAATGTATCAAATTTAAGATTTTTTTGCAAAAAAAAAAATTGAATAAAAATTCAATAGCAAGTTTGTCGCTGAAGTCTTTTGTTATAGCGCTATAAAATAAGAGGTGTTGGTATAGAAATGTTGCAAATTTTTTTTCTGTTGTAAACCTCGTATACAAGTCATATGTATGTATGATTTTATATTTACGTACGTATCTCGCTTTTGCAATGATTATTTCATTTGAGATCTTTTGATTCTTAAAAATGATTTTAATATTCAATGATAAATAGCTTTTTCATTCTGGAACAATCTAGAAGTATTGCTGATACTCTTAATTAAAACAAGCAGCAGAAAAAACTTAGGGATCAAAAAGAGCGTTTTTATATAAAAGAATTGTATTCTATTTTATTTTATTTTATTTTATTTTATTTTATTTTATTTTATTTTATTTTATTTTATTTTATTTTATTTTATTTTATTTTATTTTATTTTATTTAATTTTTAATTTTATTTTATTTTTTTATTTTTTATTTTAGTGTGTTTGTTTTTATTTTTTTGCCTTTTTTATTTTAAATTCAAAATTGTGAAATTAAAACTCAATGCAGAAAAAACCAATAATTCATTGCCATGGCGTAATCCAAACGAAAGTCGAATGTCAGAAACGGCTGCAGCAAAACGAAAAACATATGGGAAACTAAAAATTATTTTCGAGAAAAAATTTAATTTTTATTAAAAAAATATGTATGCAAGATCAAATCGTGTTAGCAACATCATTCAAAGAGTAGTATTTTTTTATGGGAATGTGGGAGTCGGAGAAACAGTCAAGTGGTGGGCGTACTGAAGATGTGTCCAAAAAGAAGTACCAGCGATGATCAAATGTAACGCTAATAAATGACTTTTTGCCTATTAATGCCAGAAATCAAAATCTCCACCAGCTGCTTCTCCTACACTTTTTCATTTTTTTTCTTCTTGTGCTGCCTACTCTAGAAATTGCGGTAATAAACTTGATTCGCCGAAAATACCCAGCGACAGAAGAAAAGAAAAAAAGAATTCAAAATGAAAGATATATATACGTTTAAGCGATTTTCTGCGGCCAACTTAAGTTTTGTGCGAAAGAAAACAGCAACAAAAATAACGAGCATCAATGACTTTTGTCGGTTGTAAGGGAGGGGTAGGTGGAGATGAACAAATAGTAGTTGAGTTTATTAGGGAAAGAAGTGGGCGCTGCAGAAGGTGAGTCAATAACAGCAACAACAATAAAAACAGCAAAAGTGGTAGTTGTAGTAGACGGCAGTGGCCAAAAATGGACCACAGGTTTGGCTCGATTCGGTTCGCTTCGGTGATGGTGCGCGGGTTGAGCGCTAGTGCGCGCGCGTGTAGGCTAAGAAGTCGTCAGTCGCCAGCGCGCAACAGCATTTCTGTGTTGCCTAACAGCAAAACTATCAAATAGTCAAGACAAATATGCATACATACACATTTTTTAGGTATTTCTTAGACGAACTTTGCCTGTGTCTGAGTGTGTGTGTGTGTGTGTGTGTGCGGTGTGCGAAAAAAATTTGTTTGAGGTGCGCTCAAGTGCAGAAATACACACCGTTAAACCTACACACTAGTCACCACACACACAAACTCACGTTGCTTTGATATTTCATATCCTCAATCTGGTCTCTAAGCCAGTGGTGCGCTCATGACTCTCTGCGCGCTCTTCTTTGCCAAACGCCTAAACCCGCCGCAAACGATGCACCAACACCAACACATCGCCAACAATACTCTGACGCTGGCTGGCTGCGTTCGCCAAGTGGCAGCGCTGCGATTCTACTTCAGCGCGGTTCGCTTCGCTGACTTCACCGGACTTAGCTGAACTGCGCTGAGCTGAGCTTAGCTTTCATCGGTGCGTTGCTGGGCCACAGAGCTTTGTAAATTCAGTTCGCCAACGGCGCGCGTACGGTGCGGATCTCTTACTTTGCTTTGAACGGACGTTTGCGTGTCATATATAGAATACATATATACATAGTATACATATATATATGTACATCATACATACTCAAACAGCACTGCCAATAGATAGATATATATACAGGCATATGCATATGCATTGAGTATATATATAAAAATATTATATTATATATTGAGCTCAAATTACAGCATTTGGGCCAAGTGTAAAGTAAAAATATTCTTCATAAAGTGTTTGAAAATTTATGCCTAAAAATAGAAATTTGTGAAATAAACCAGCAAATAGTTGACGGTAAAGCGAAGCAAAGTTACGCTAAAGAAAAATTGTGTTCAAAGAATATTTGCTAAGCAAAAATCGGATTTTGTGCGACCAATTTCTAAAATAAATAAAATTTATTGTGTTCAATCTCGAGTGCATCCAAGTGTTTGGTATTTAAATTTTATAACAAAAATATTTGGAATAATAATTTAAATCCTTAATATCATTTAAAATAAATCCTCAACATTGCAGTGAAAGTTTCGATTTGCTACAAAGCAAATTTAAATCCATTCTTCAGCAATAACAATTCATAAAAAAATTGTATTCCAGTAAATTGGGATAAATTAAAGTGTAAAAATCTGAAAATATCAAAACTTGTGTTCAAATTTAAGGCAAAAGCGCTGTTGCGCTGACTTCAAGCAAAGTTAACATTTTCGTAGAAAATAAATCAACGATTTGGAATTTGATTTGGAATTTGATTTGGATTTGTCTGTCTCCCAAAGCGTGTGTCTCGCTGTGTGTGTGGAGTAGTGCGCGGCTGGTGACAGAATGTACTAAATTTGGATTCGATTGCAAGAAAGAAATGGTGAGCGAAAAAAAAAATTAATTAACCTGATTAAAAATATTTCATAAAAATTTTAAGCTTAAAAATTTATAATCAAATACAAAGCAAAAAATAAAATAAAAATAAATTTTCAATAAAATGATAATAAATATAGCTGTTGAAATGAAGTGATTTTTACAAAATTAATAACGAAAGAAAAAAATGGCTATTTGTTTCAAATAATTGGTTTTGGCAAAAAGTATTCGTCTGCGAAATTCAGTTTTAATTTTATAAAGCAATGAAAATTATTTTCGTAATTCAAAAAAAATTATATCTACTTATGCACATTTATTCCCAATACGAAGGATTCCTTTTGATAAAATAGGCTTTCCGAAAAATTAGGCAAAAATTTCAAAAAAAAAAACTTCAGAAAAAAATCTAAGAAAGTGTTATAAACTTTATATTTATTTTTGTTACTACAATTTTTTAATTTACCTTTCCCAAAAAATTCCTTCCATTTGTCTAGTTTTACAAAAAGTGAAAATATTCTTGGCAAATTATTTAAAAATTGCCAAAAGTAAAAATGTCTAAAAAAAATGTTTTTTTGTGTAAGAAAGGAAAGATTTTATTGTCTTAATATTTCAACATATTTTTAGCGAACAATTTTTCAAGAATTGTGGAAATTTTGAAATCAATTTTTTTTAGCAGGTTTTTTAAAAGTGATATGAGATTTTTTTATGTTTTAATATCTCAAACAGTTTGTAATTTTTTTTCTATAATAACATTTATCAGTTTTAAAATATGTGAAAGTTTTAACATTTAAGTCACTAAAAATTTAAAATCAAAAATAGCTGTAATAAATATTTCGCAATTAATTCCTTAAGACTGCTCTTACGAAATTTCAGTAAAAATTTCTTAGAAAATGTGTTTGTGCTTCACTTATAATTTTTTTTTTTTTCTTAAAAAACTAGGAGCCCTAAGGTCTTTTCTAAATTTGTGAACAGCATTTTTTCAATGAATTTAATTTATTTTATTGTTTAAAAAATCATATCAAAATATTAAGCAATAAAAAGTAATATTTTGAAAACAGTTTGACAATGCATATTTTTGTCTTTGTTTTATGAGTGATATATTTTCCATAAAAACTCTCAAGTGATGGCATAAAATTAAACTAAATCCAATATATGTTTTTTTTAATTATTTAAAACAAATTTTATTATAGAGCGAGACATTTTTTAATAATAATTCAGCTGAACATTTGTTTGGTTAATTCAAAATATCTCACCGAATCTCGATTTAAAAATTTTTTGTTGCAAAATGTCAAAAAATTTTCATTAAAAAGTAAACATAATCTTGAAAATGAAGGGAAAATTAAGAATTTTGTTATGAAATTTTGCAACAAAAAGTAAAATGAATGCAAAAAAAAAGTGAAGTAATTTTTCAAAAGCATTTTTTGTTAGTGGTGCAAACGCTGCTGAGAAAATAAGAAAAATATGAATCAATATTAAAAAATTTAAAAAAATTAAGAAAAAAAGAAAATGCTTAGTTGGTGAAAACTATTTCCAAAAACAACAGTTTTTTCTGTGCGTTATTCAGTATCATTATTTATTTTTTTTTTTTTTCTGTTTTAAATATTGCTAAATCCTTTTATTTTATTTTTTTCACAATCATTTAATTTTATTTTATTGAATCAAAATATTTGGCATGTGTGACTAATATGGTATTCGGGGGGAGATTCTAACAATAAGTGAACCAAATCGCCAAAAAATCACTGTGTTTAAAAAAAAATTTTCTATTCAAGTTTTTTGTAGTTACTTAACGTTTAACTAGGAAAACGAAATAATTTTGTGTGAATAAAACTGGCTGTTTAGTTTTTTCTTATTTAAATTCTTATAATAATAAATACATAATAAATTTACTTTTGTGTTGAGTTTTACACAAAAAATATATATTTAATTACTTCATATTTTTAATTTTCTTTAGCAAGCACGTTGAGCTGCTTAACGAAATTAAAAAATCAAAATTCAAGACTTTAAAATACGACTCAGTGGAAAAACTGGTTATTGTTTATTATTTTTGCTACTTTTGAGTCTTTTCCAGCCAAATTACTTATTTATTACCTTCGGCTATTGAAACTGAAAGCTAGCAACCTAAATAAATAAACAAACAAGCAATTGAAATGAAATCAAAATTTTTCAAGTGCTAGGCGCATCTATGACTAAAATAAATAAATGAATAAACAGGAAACAGCAGAACAGAAAAACAAACAAAATTAGAAAAAATTAAAATATCGAATAGAAAAATTAACGAAAGTAAAGTTTGAGCAAATAAATTTCAGAAAAAATAAATAATAATTTATTATTAAAATGGAGTTGAAAATTTTGAGATAAAAAAATGTAAAAAATTTATAAAAATAAATTCAAATTTTTTAAAACTAAAACAATTATCTTAAGAACCAGACATACATATGAGGAAAGATAGAAATAAATTAATTGTCTTAGGCAAGCAAAATATTTATTCTGGTTGGTAACAAAAACTGTTTTTCTTTTAATAACCAAGTTATTGAAATTGTTTTTCCTGACTAAATGCAATTGTTAAACCATATCATGTTATTCTTTTTCTTATTTTTTCTAATTTTAAACTGTGCCTCTTTTCTAAATGTCTTTTCACAACTTTTAAGCCAACCAAACGCCGTCAGCAGACTCTTTTGCTGTTTACCATCTTTCTATTTTTATTAATTTTTTTTTTTAGTTTGTTTATGCCGTCAGTCAAACAGCAATTGCAGCCTCGCTGGGTGATAGGAATATGCTTTCCAGCCACAACTTTTGCATGCGCCGCTTCGAGTGCCATTGCCGTTTCGGACGCGCTCTTGACAGTTTATCATTCAAATGCAGCTGTTTTACGGTCTCCACGCTTTTTTCGTCACTTTAACAGTGTCTTTCTCATTTTTCCATTTCTGCAATTTTTATGTAAAGTGTGTCACGACGCCACTTTGTCAACGACTGAAAATGAGCGAAACCAAAAACTGAAATAAAACAATAAAAGTGCTTAAATAGTAATGAATAAATAAATAAAAACACCAAAATGTTTTTGTGAGTGTGTATGTGTGTGTGTGTGTGTGTTTGTGGTTACTCCAGCCAGTCGTCAAATACTTCACTTCAGCTTTGTTTGATGGCTTAAACGCCAACAGCCTGTCATAATTTGCTTGCAATATAACATCTTCAAGCGAGCTAAAACGCTTTTGCATTGACGTGGACTCTAACAATATATGTAGAAGCACAGCATTCACCACTTTTCTGTATACTCCTTTGTATTTTTACTTCACCTTTTGACTGTAGGTGTTAGTGTTGGTGTTGAAAGTGAAACTTTGGCTTTTGTTTAGCGCGCCGATGTACATTTACTTTCCGTTGTCACTGTTGATCTTTGTAGTTTGGCACTTTTTTCGCTTGTTGGCTTTCGAAATATTGTCTATTCGCTTATGAGTTCGAACGTTATGATGCAAATATGTTTATACAAGTGACAAGTAATAAATATTAATATTTGTCTTTTATTAACAGTTTAAAAGTGTTTTCTATTTCCTTTTCTTTGCACTTTCAAATATTTTTTCCTAATTTCTCTAGTTGAACCGTTGCACACCTTGGATTGAGTAAAAATTATAATTAAAAAAATATATATATCTAAAAAAAACTAATAAATAAAAAATAAATATAAAAATATGAAAAAAAAATGTAAAGCTCTAAATATTTGTCGAAAATATTGTTAAAAAAATTTATATAAATAAATTTATTAAAAAAAAATAAATGATGAAATAAATGTAAATTTTTTTAAAACGTCATAACAAGTCTCAAATTTTCCTACAAATATTTGTCGAAAATATAGTTAAACAATTTTTTTTCGACAAATTTGTAGAAATGTCAAAATATTTAATAAACAATTTTTTTTTCGATCCATCACGAGCCGAAATTTTTTAAAAAGTTTTGCTATATAAAATGGAAAATATTTATACATTTTTTCTAATTACCCTGCATCAAAAATGACAATTCCAACTTATTTTTGTTGTGAGCTTTTTGATCAACCTTTCTTTTTAATTAAAGAAAATATCTATGCATTGGCCGATGATCGCATAGGCGTTTCCATTGTCAATAAAGAAGAAGAATACATAAGCAAAAATGCTTAAAAAAGTTTCCCTTAATTATAATAAAATTTATTTTGCATTAATAATCAAATAATTTTCGTTTTCCGATTTCCATTAAGAACATTGAACTTTAAAATGTATTTATTAAATTTTAAAAATTTCATTTCATTTTTTTAAATTTTTAACATTTCAAGCTTTTATGTTTTATTTACTTTTTTCTTTGAATTTAACTGAATAACTGAAAATTTTTTTAGATTAATTTAAAATATATTTTCGAAGTAGATCAAACAGTTAACAATATTATTTTATTACTTTTTCTTTTTTAAAAACAATCGAAAAAATTTAATATATGAAGATTATAATATTTCTTATATTAATTTTCTCATTTTCACCACCCCATCTCTTTGAATCGAACTGGCCCTAATTAATAAAATTAATAATAATAAAAATAAATTAGTGGCAGAGCTTTAGTTGCCTGCCAGCCATGAGATGGTTAATAACATTCCTAACAATAACAAAACAGCGAAAATACAATGCAAAAGCGAAGGTGCAAAACTTTCACTTTGTACACTTTTTTTTTAATTTTTTGCAATTTTTTATCGAATCCATTTGCTGGAATCCATTTTACCTTTATTTCATGTTTTAATATATTGAAGCGCCTGTTTATATAAAGCCACTTGTTAACGCTCTTTCCAAATACAACACAACACAACACAAATTTGTTTCTACTTTTGCTTCACCTTTTTCTGCCACTTAACGCCCGCCACACGCCGTTAAGCCGCTTGCATCTATTTCGATGTATAATAAGCTTTTAATCATCAGCATCTGCATTTAATTAAATGAAATATTTGTTGTTTGTTTGTTGAATAAATGCTTTTGGCCTGTATTAAAAAAATATACCTTTAAT